TCTAGAACAATGCATAACCTGTAGAAGGTATGTTAGCCTTGACAAAAGGAAGATATTGCATACGGCAACCCTCCCAAATGTAGAAAGGTATCGTTGGCTCCACATACGTACAGCTGACTTCACCTTTGTGCCTACAGAATCCCACATAGACTTTGGATTGTCCATCGCACTGAGTGGCACCCCTAAAAGCTGCGGTTTGTTTCTAGACCATTCAATGTCCACGTACTTGGCTGGTGTTGATCCCCACTCCCCGCACCACGATCCACTACTTTTAGCCTTATTCACAGAAGCACCAGACACATGGCAGTAGTCTTCGACATGTGACATCGCTGTCACTATGCTTGGTTTGTTGGAGCAAATGAGGGCCAGGTCGTCTGCGTACGCCAGGAGTTTCACTTCGCTGGCATGAAGTTGAAAACCTTGTATCTTTGTGTCGTTGATGATGACCCTGCAGAGTGGCTCTAAGTAGATATTAAAAAGTAGCGGTGACATTGGGCAGCCTTGGCGTACTGAGCGTAAAACGGGGATAGATTTTGAAAGAGACCCATTTATAATTAACTTAGTCGATATGCTATTGTAGCAAAGTGTAATGCCCTTTTCAAGAGTTTCGCCAACCCGTATGTGCTTCAACAGGGCAAAAAGAAATGAGTGGTCTACTCTATCGAAAGCTTTTTCGAGATCAAGCTGTAAAATGGCAGCTGCTTCTTGTGTGCGTTGGCATATCTCTAGCATTGATCGAACAATGTGGAGGTTTGTCTGTATATTTCTTCCTCTTATTGAACGTGTTTGGTGATCTCCTATGACTTGGGTTATGACAGTTTGGAGTCTCCCTGCGATTAATCGAGCCAGGATTTTGTAGTCAGTATTGAGAAGGCTGATAGGTCTATAGCCTTCAAATTTTTTAAGCTTGTTAGGGTCTTTCGATTTAGGAATTAGTATTGTATGAGCCTTACGAAACGACAGCGGTAAGTTACCCATGGTGTAAGATTCTTCAAAAACGTTGCAAAGTATGGGGGCTAATTTTTCTTTCCACTTCTTGTAGAAGCTAGCAGGCAATCCATCTGGACCAGGAGCTTTGTGACTTTTCATTTCAGAGATGTTTTGCATAATTTCTTGTACATCCAGGGGTGAATTAAGTTTTTCCGTTGTGTCGTTTTCTAAGCAGGGTAATGTTGATATTATCCCTCGCAGACGTGGATGAGGTGCCTTAGTGCCTGTTGCAAAAAGATTGGTGTAATGCAAGACAAAAGCCTGGTGAATATCACTTTCATTCTTCAGTTCCTGGCCGTTCAGTATTAGCAATGACACCGACTTTTTCTTCACATACTCTCGTTCGGCATGTAGGTACCTCTTCGTAGGCTGTTCTCCTTCAATTAGTTGTAGAGTGCGTGTCCTCACAGCCGCACCTTCATAGCGCTTCTTGTCGTGTTCTTCTATTTGCTTCTTTATATTTTTTATTTCATTCTTGTACATCCCTGGCTCTTGACATTCGAGATTATATAAGTACAAGAGATCGTTATTTAGTCGTCTTTCTTCAGTTTTTTCGCGGTACCTTTTTATCGAAGATATCTCGCTAGCTACTTCTCGAATTTTAATCTTAAACAATTCCCACTTTTGGCACCACCCAGTTTTGATGAGTCCAAAGTCCGTTATAAGGCTTTCTGCGGCTGTTTGAAAAGCATCGTTTTCTAACAGGCTTTCGTTCGTCTTCCAGCATTCCCATGATTGCGGCTTTTCCTTTATTCGTTTTCGGTTCGATCCTACACTAACCATGACCATACAATGATCTGTGAAATATGCAGGAATTACTTTATAATCACTAAATGAACTACTAGCCGAACCAGACACATAGATACGGTCCAAACGCGCATGCGACGATCCCTGGAAGTACGTATACTGAAGAACATTTTTTGTTGTGAAAGTGTCCAACAGGTCGCAATCCCGAACGAGAGCTTGAAGAATGTCAACACTTGGATCAACGATTTTCTTGATAGGAATTCTATCTTTGGCAGACAATACGCAGTTAAAATCTCCAAGGAGAATAACATCGAATCTTGTGTCGGCGTGAATCCTCACTTGATTGAATAAGTTCTCCCTTTGCGCGGAGTCATTGTACGCGTAAACAACAACTATGCGCCAGGGGTGACCATGTATGAGGACATTTGCAACTAAAAGCCTACCTGCATCTGCACCTTCCACTAAACTGCACACACGGTATTCTGAACTTTTTTTAAACAAAATGGCGCATCCAGCAGAGTAATCGGTTGCTGGGCAATGGTATATATCGTATAAGCTTGACCATACGCTGTTAGCCGAGAACAAAACGTTATCCTGGGAAACCTTAGTCTCTTGCAATGCGACTATGTCACAATTGTGTGGTTCTAGAAAACGATATAGTTGATATTGCTTTTTGCGTGAATTAATACCGCGCACGTTAAGGGAGCATATGGTAAAAGAACTTATCTGGGTGGTGCCAAAGCTGACTGTAACCATTTAAACATTTGATTCAGATCGGGGAAGGTTTGGTTTCTTCCGCTCCTTGAACTTCGCCTTTCCACGTTGTTCTTGGGGATGGACGTCTTCCCTGCTCTGGGGGACATCTTTGGAGCAGCAGGGATCTGCTGTTAAGGTGGTGTCGATGGCGTCGACTTTCGCCTTTTTGCACGACCTTTCGTCTTCTGTCTCTGTCGCAGCAGGCGGAGTAATCTGTGTGGGAAGCTTTCTTGTCTCCTTTGATTTAGTGAGTGGAGCTTCAGGTGTGGGATCATTTGGTGGTTCTTGGATTAGGGCATCGATGGTGCAAGGTTTAGGTGCCTCCTCTTGCTCCCCCGAGGAGACCTCGCATGAGTTGTCGTGGTTTTCTTCAGATTCCTGAGAATCGTCCAGAGGTTCCAGGTCCTTAGTGAACAGTTCATCGACGTCCATGAGGTGTTCACTTACATCAGCCGATGGCGAAGCATTACCCTGGAGCTTGGAGGCATAGGTTACAACGCACTCCTCGGTGGAATGGCCATACCGCCAGCACTGTTTACAGCGTGGTGTAGAGCACTGTCGACGGATGTGGCCAATCGCTTTGCAGCGCAGGCAGAGCGGAGGTCGTCCGGGAATGACCACTAGAGTATTCACTCCGTAGATGGTGAGCATGTGTGGGACCTTATCAACCGAGAGGTGATCCTTGAGTACTAGATTTACACATCGGGTCAAGGTGTCTGTCTCCTGGAGATCTGAAAATCTCCACCTCTCCCTAGTTATCTCTTTCACCGTTCCAAACGGTTCAAGCACCTTCTTGACCTCGCTGTCCGGTAGCTGAGGCGGTAGCCAAAGCAGTTTCATTTTGATTTCATCCTTTGTAGGATCAATCACGAGGCACTTTTTCTTTTTGATTTCGAGTTCTTCTTGTGCTTTTACCTTGTATTTTGCAGCGCCATTGGCGAAGACGGCCATTTGGAAAGGGCCTAAGGCGTCGAGATCTTTACGGTCAATTATTGAAAAAAGAACTTCTTTGAAATCTGTTGCCTTGTACGGTCGTCCGGACATATCCGCATGCAAGAAAAGGGAGTTTGTGACGAGCATACCTGTAGGTAGACGTGGTAGAATGATTCGATATTCCTTGGTCTGCTTGGAGCATTCCGTTGCCTCTTCATTAACCCGGTCTTCAAGGACCGTCATGCTGCTCTCCTTGGAGCTCATCTTACTTGTTGAAGGATCGCTGCCCTCTTCGTAGCGGGACCCAGGGCCACAAGGGCCCCAGTGAATCACTTTGGTTCAAGAGGACGAAAATTAAGCGTCCACTTACGATCACTCTCATAGCAGAAAGCGCGAGGCGCCGGCGCCGGCGGAGGTATATAAATTTATTGCTACTGTCATATTAACGGCATTAGCGCACACGTATGAGGAAGAGAGAAGGGACAGAAAAGAGCGCTTCTCTCTTCCTCAGACGTGTGCGCTAATGCCGTTAATATGTCTAACTACCAACTAGCCCAGTTATCAACCCTTTTATTGCTACTGCTTTTACCTCGTGTGGTTTTTTATTTATTTTGGCTCTACCCTCCCTGGCCCTAACTTTACCTGCCGGTCCTACAGTATAAAGGGCCGGTCAAATGGACTCCAGTTACAAGTCCCTGCAATCAGTTTTTACGAGCGACATTAGGCTTTTGTGCTTGAAGCGATGCGGATCTCTTCGCCATTAGGCAGGGAGGCTAGGTACTTCCTTGTCCCCATGGAGCTGGTCACGTGACGAAAAACTCCCTCTTGGCCGCGGCCGCAGCCGCAGCCGCAAAATGAGCAAACCGGCCCAGGGGTGCTATGTTGCGCTTTTTGGACTCCCAGGAGACTAGGGAGGAGGAAGTGACGTCAACAACGCAGCAAATGCAGATTGGATGTTGATTTTGTCATCTTCTGTCAACATCCAACCTGCGTTTGCTGTATCGTTGACGTCACTTCCTTCTCCTTCGTTTCCTGGGAGTCTAATACGTGCAACATAGCCCCCAGGATTGCAGGATCCCCGGGTTCTGCAGCGCGAGCTTTCGCTCCACGTGCTTCGAGCTGGTGTGCGCTAGCTCTACGCTAGCCCACTCGGCCACCGATCCCCCCCCCCCCCCTTAAGCCCCAATCAAAGCTGTGAAATCGCACTTTTTTTTTTTTTAACTGCCACAGAACGTAGTCCTAGGGGATTGGCATCATTATTGCAAATCTGTGCCGTGGCGACGCTGACAGACTCCTTTAAATCAAAAGGAATAGACTCTCTATATTCAACACACCGACTCCATAGTTTGAAATATCGTTTCATTTCTCTAACGTTTGACTAGGAGCGAAACCGTACTGAAAAAAAACGAGAAGAGGTGCAAAGCGCGAGGACCATTCGCGAGACCAGCGCTCATTAGAACGGAATCAATTGACGAAGAAGGGCGTTCTTTCACTATCTCTTTTCTTATTTTCTTAAAGTAACCTAAATTCGGCATTAGTATTTATTCTTATTATTTTTAGATAATTTATCGAACATGGCGGACATATCACCCGGTAAGTCGATCTCAACCTTTTTTTAACTGAATCTGCGTGTTTGTCGGTGCAATGCCTCAAGTCCTGATTGCCGATTCTATCACAATGGCTATAGATGACGCGCTATAGATGACGCGCGTCCTTGTTTATGACTTTATCGCCAGTCAAAGTACGCTCACAACAAAACAAGAACACAGAATACGTTCTTACTCATTCCACACTCCTTGTGGTCCCCTTTGAGCCTACAGCTCCTGACGTTTTGATTTTCGGTATTACACATTTATGTTGTTTTTCCTTTCACGGAAGTAAAAGTATCATGATGCTGCACTTGCCTTGTCTACATCAACACAATATTTTCATCCGACGACATTTCGCTATAGTCTGAACTGCCTGCGTTAGTTCGTCAAGAATGAACATTCTATGAATAACCACCACGAACAAGAGTGACATGCATCCTTAATCGCAGTCGCCTGTCACGCGTTAGACGACTTTTTGGGGACTTTCATTGTCAGAGTATTGCCCTAGAAAAACTCCCCCTCTGCAATTCGCAATCAAACTTCTACACCTGTTTCAATGGCGCTTGAAAGACCATCAAGAAATATATTTTTGTTTTAAAAGAATCGGCGAACCAGCGCACGCCAAGCAGCACCCACACCACCTAAGATATTCAAAGCATAGGAACAGCCTCCTTTACTTGCGTGGAACGTCATCATTGGGTGAAACAGCGCACAAGATTTACACAAAGAAGACAGGCACACAAGAAAACACGTACATTGCACTGTTTTATTTTGTGTGTGTGTTTTTTGTGTACCTGTCTTCTGTGCGTAAGTCTCGAGCACTATTTCACCCAAGCATGAACAACTAACCAACTGGCCCAAACCTCCGTCCTCTCGAACGTCATCACCGAACAATGGCATCAACTCAGTGACTGGGATCTGCAGACGATCCTGAACCCTAAAGCCGAGATCCCACTGCTCATACATAATACAAGAGATAGTTTGAAAACACGAGATACCGCAACAATATCCGGGGTTCGAATGCCGGATGCCAACTTTCCTCCTTGAACTCATTGCCATGCATGCATTCGAAGCACGGTTCTCACGGTGACTCGTGTTTGAATTATGCACGAACGCATAGATTTCATACGAGGCCCATGGACGAACACTGAAACGTCACTCGTGTCTCATTTCTGTTCGCGCTCATTTTCACTGGGATGACCTGGAAATTCCATCGCATGGGCTTCGATCAACCTAGGTGGTATGGGCAGCATGCGCACAGTCAATATCAATCATTGATTTGTCAATTTTAAAAGGAGTGCTTTTAATACGCCTGTCAGACGGGCTGGTTAAAGGACTTCAAAAGTAACTTCTTTAAAAGATTGGCGAACCAGCGCAAGCCAATAGGTAAGAGATCGTTACCCGATTCGTCGATGTTTTAAACATTTTCGTTTCGAAGTCGTTTGACGTGCCTGTTTGACACAGTAAAATTTAATGTCATTTGCATCGATTGACATTATGTCACGTGCCAATCAGGGTGGTGCACACGCAATGCTCGTAGTGAGGATCGCGAGCTGCTTCACTAATCACCGAATGTCGTTTGATGGCAATGTCATTAAATGCTTCCGTGTGGTGGGGTCAAGCACCCGTAAAACCGTTGTATTGGTTCTAGTTGTTTTTCTGCATGAACTCAGTAGTGGCTGCCATTTGTTCCTTTCCAGGGACCCCTGATAGTAAGTACTCGAAGTCCATCATCAATCGGGCATATTCACCTACCCAGCCGAAACGAACGTTTTCTTTCTAGTAATATACGTATCGTTTCAGCGATAGAACAAAAAAAGAAGTCTTCAGCCAAGGTCCTCACTACGCTTTTTCCAAGGGTGAGCACTCGCGAGACGACATTAGGGAGGCCGCACCGCAGCAACGCGTGCGGGCCGCTGGTTCTCTTCTCTCCCACGCAGATTCCGAAGGTAACCACGGTGCTGCTGGAGTTCTTCATCAAGCGAGAGAGCAAGGTGTCCCTCTTCCGAGACCCCCTCTCGCACTTCTGCCAGGAGCAGGTGGTCCTGGCGGCGCAGGACTGCCTCCAGAAACTCAACCGCCAAGTGATCACCTTCCAGGACATCCGGGACATGATCGAGAATCTCATCGGTCTGCACAGTCTCGTAAGCGGGCACTCGACATTGAGGAAATGCAATCACTCAAGTTTGGTCCTTTTGTCTTTCAAAATCAATCCACCTTTTTCTTTTCTTCATAAATTGTCCGTTTGAGGTGTTTGCGCAAAGAACAGGCGTGCATACCTCGGGCACCGGCACAGGCCTTTGGCTTGTGCTTGAATTCATGGAAGGTGAACTGTTTAATTGTTCGCATTGCAAAACCTCTGAAACCATTATTTTAAAGAAAGGTGAATATCGGCCACAGCAGTGTGCTTGCAGGCTACGTGCGCGCTTCCAGCCAACGTTTGCCAGATCTTCCGCACCATCAAAACTGTTTTAATTCAGTTTAAACGGTACATTACGCCCTCAGCTTGCACTTATCACGATATGTGAAAATGACACTGGACGTCGTTTTCGGATAATAGTTCCCTTTGTAAAGCGTTTGATTAAAATATCTGGATACGTCATATGCAAGATTCAGTGCATTTCAAACCTGCGCTTATAAACAAACAAACAAATTTTAATTGCGAGAGTTGTTAATGGCGAGGTTTCGCAGCGGGTCTTCGGGTGTGTTTCCTGCAGTGTTGTAGGCGTTATCTAAAAAAGTAACGAAGTACGTTTCTCGTTAATCGCAAACAAAAGGAACGCTTGACCGATTTATATTACCTCAAAATAAAAGGAACGCGTTCCTGTCACTGTTACCAGTAAAAGGTAACGCGGGTTGCTTTTGTGTTACTTTTATTTAAATTCTGAATTCAGACGTTTTACTGTTTAGACGTTACAGGTGTGCATGAACGCCACATTTCAAGAAATATGATGCCCATGCAAAAACTGAACCTAATTGCCTTTCCTTTTTTACGGTTTCACCTAAACACTTACAAGAAAAGATATCAAAGAAAAAGAGAAAACTCAGAAATTGACATTGCGTGGCGTCTAGAAACGCAAAAAAATATAAGTGTAATTTTATTAAGTTTGGGGAAGATTATGTAATGAGTAACGTAACTACGTTACCCGTTGCTCAAAATAAGTAACAGAAGTGCGTATACTGTTTTCAAAATGTAACGAGTACTTACAAGTTACCAAAAAAAAGTAAGGCGTTACCGGGAACGCCATTACTTGTAACGCGTTACCGCCAACACTGGTTTCCTGTGTGTTGTGTTATGACGTCACAGTGTCGTCCTGTGACGTCATTGTATCACATGTCATAAAACAGTGCACAAACAGCAACCCTGGCGCTTGCAAACCTCAGCCAGCAAACCATCGTCTTGATTAAGCATTCCTCATGAGACATTTGCTGGCCTCATAATAAAAAAAAAAACAGTGAGTTGTTTGTAAATATATACACTGTTAAGCCGGGGTCGCACTGCTTGCTCACGATGAGAAGCTCGCTATGGGCGCTTGTTTTCCTCACTATTAGCGCCGAGATGTTTCGGTGGCGCCCTCTTATGGTTTCCCTCCGTGACGTCACGACTGGGATTTGCCTCGCCGTGACGTCACCAGTTGTTATCCTGGCTACTTACCATCAAGTGCGACGACGAGTTCGGTGGTGTGTTTAAAAAGCACAGTGGAAGCTAGGAGCCATCGCAATCCGAAACTAACACCGTCAAAGTTGACAATCTGACAATGCTCATATACCCATGGTTTGGCCAATCGTGGAAAGCTGACCGCAGCGACGCTTTTGGTAGCGCACATCGCTAATAGGAGGTATTCAATGGCGGCCATAGCAGTGTGCGCGTCTGCTGAGCGCGTGCTGATGGCGAGCTTCCACAGTTCTTTTGTAAAGAGCATTCCGCACCCTCAAGATTGCCGGTCTTAGCAGCTCAATTATATGGGCTCGTTCTGAGCATGCGCTCTAGACAGCACCCACAAATATGGCACCCAGTGAATACTCCTTATTGGTAGTGCACGTGCTACCCAAGCGGTGGTTTTGATGTTCAGAGTGCACAGAAGCTTGGCATTGCACTTGATTGCACCAGCAGATGAAGGTGAAGTGTGCTCACTCTGGGTTGTGAAAAACTTCCACCAGGCGGCGATACCCAACCTTATCGCCACGAATGCGTCATCCAAAAGACGGTCTGCAAAAAAGATTCAAGCGCAAATCACCACGAGATTCGTGCTTCGAATACCGCATGGCAACCAGTTCAAGGAGAAACTTGGCACGCGACATACGAACCCCGGATATCGCGGTGACTGATATCTGGCAGACGATTTTTTGTATGATGTATATGCAGTGTGACCCCTGCTTAAAGCAGGGATCACATCGCTCGTAGGCTATGCAAAAGACAACCTGGAAAAACGAGTCACCGCAATATCCGTTGTTCGAATGCCGCGTGCCAAGTTTTCTCCTTGAACTCAAGGCCATGCGTAATTTGAAGCACGGATCTCGCGGTGACTCGAGTTCGAATATATGTGCAGACTGTCTTTCGTGTGATGCATAAGCAGTGTGACCACGGCTTTAGGGTTTGATAATCCTATGTACGAGTTGTAGCTTAGCACCCATGTTTCACGCTGCTACTCAACGCAAAGCGACAAACACAGATGAAATTGTTGGTTCCGACAGTGCCTGAAAAGAGCTCCAGAGACAGCCAAAGAACTGGGGACTACCGTGCGCAAGCTGACCATCATCGTTGGTGAACTGGCCACCTCCCTGGAGAAAATCTGCGAGGTCAGCGTCACTGATTGGATGGCTATTGGCGACAGCGTGATCAGCAAAACGGAAAAGGTACTTACGCCCACCTTGACAAACTAAATACATAAAGTCCGGTTGGAAATCTCCACACTCAGCTTTTCTAAAACTGACAGTTTTAGAAAAGCTGAGTGTGGTGATTGGTTCTTGTGCATCTTATTGTCGAATGCCGCTATCTCGTTGGTTGCGGAGCAATAATCAGATGCCGAGGACTCACCACTTCCTGCGTGTATTAGACCGCCGGTGACTATACTACCCTTGTGTGCTCAAATTAACTTAGAACGAAAGAAATCTGTTCAATTACGAAACGATCGGAATCAGTCAGCATCTTAAAATTACGAAAATTGTACTTCTAGTGTAATAATGCAGATTAATTATGCTGATTTTGACTTGGTTTGCATTTGCTTCAACCGCAGATGAACTTGGAGAGCATCCCATCGTACACCACCTTCATACCGAAGATGAAAGAATTCAAGCCAATGAAGCTCCTAGGGGCTGGGGGATTCGGGTACAAGTTCTTCGTACTGTAATCGGCAAAAAGATCGAAGAAGCTTTTTTTAGTTATTCGCTAAGGACAACGGTTACGAAAATATATTTTTCTGGTAAAATTCGTATTTAGCTTTTACCTCTCCAATTGATAATGCTTTCGTTTTGGAGCAGTTACGACATGAGCTATTATAGATGTGCCGTACGAAAGGGTGCCTGTACAATCAAAACGGTTGAGCAGTTATAGCATATTTAAGTTCCTTCATTACTGTTCATGAGAATGACTTCGAATTAATACTCAGCTGTACTTAAGAGCCTTGCAAAACTCCTTCATCGATTTTTGTTAGAGAAGCCACCGAAGAACCCAGTAAATATCACGACATTCCTTCCTTGACGAAAATTTTCGTCTGTTGAAGAAAATTAAGGAGTCGCATGGCTGTGGTACTGCAAAAACAAACTAGAAATTTATCTCGTGCGCTTTCATTAGTTTCACAGAAATTCAAAGGTTCGCATAACTACTGTCAAATAAATCTAACTCTATGATATTGTGGCGTGAACTTGCGTGGACTTAGGTGAAAAGTGAAATTATTATTGATTGTTTTTTCTTATAGTAAACAGCACACCAAAGATTTTTGTTCGGTGTATATGGGTTTGAGTAATGTCAGTTCCAGCTTGCTTAGGTGACTATCTAGAGCTTCTGTGTAACTTTTGGTGACATCACACAAAGCATTCCGTTAACAGGGCATGGAGCTTACCAAACGCGCGTCCAAATCAAATGCCTGCGATGTTCACTCTTGAGAGCGCGCTACGTCGACATTCCTCCTCCCTTCTGCAGGGCGGTCTACAAGGCGCAGTTCCTTCCCGCCAACTTTGTGTGCACCGTGAAGCTTGTGGCCATGGATCGCTTCACGCGCCACAAGCAGGCCTGCATCGACAAAGTGGTGGCGTCCGTCGTCCGGAGTCCGTTCCTGGTCAAGTACTACTGTTGCTTCTGCGCCAAGGCAAGTACCCAAAAAGAACCCTTTCAATGCTGGTGCTACATCCGTTTTTGTTGACAGGACTCCTACGTCACTCTGATGGAGTATGTCCCCGGAGTAGACGTCATGCGCGTGATCCTTAAGGCCGCCTACTTGCCTATCGAGCACGTCCAGATAGTAATGGCGCAGCTCATATTAGCCCTGGAGCACCTGCATCTGCGAGGATTCCTGCACAGGGACGTCAAGGTGTCCAAGTAAGCTGAACGTCCTCTTAGAAGTGTGAGTGCGGTGCCTGAAACGTGTTTCCCACAGACGTGGACCCAACCTTTCCAGGTCTGTCTCTTCGGTGTCCAGCTTGTAGCATCACAACGAACGTTGCGATGCTACAGTAACGTCAAGCCACCATGAGTAGCTTTTTGCCCTGCCTCCCTTTCCATGAATTGGAGTAAATAAAATTTTATTGAACAGAATTGAATCTTTAGCTGCCGCTCTTCGCGAACCTGGCCGTTGCACAGCAGTGGAGGTGGATGCAGCAAACGCCTGTACTGCGGTAGCTGTATTCAGCCAGCCAACAGAAACTCGAGCAGCCTCGAATCGCAAAACTCTGAGGACAGCGATGGTTGCCCTCCGCCTGCCCTCTGCACTAACGGTCCTACTACAGACCACCAAGTTCGCGACAGTCGATAGCACAAAACACTGGGTCCCATGAAGAATTTTGTTGCCCGGGCACTCCAACACACGGACGGCAAGATGTTTACAAGTCCTCTGGGCGCCGCCACCTTGCTGCTGGCATGTGTAGCTCGTCTGATGGTCAAGCCTTGATAAGACGTGCCCACTGTTACCATACCAGTGCCCAAACACATCATTTCACATCCACTGTGGCGGGACTAAATTTATGAAGCATGGCTGCTTGCAGACATCTATAGGTTTATCAACAAAAACAAATGAAAGAAGCGTTCCAAGCACCGCGGTGTGAGCACGCGCCAATCCCCTGTAAGAGACCCTTTTCAAAAATATGGTAGCTCTCTTCACAGCTCTGAAAACCCTAACATATGGCTAAACAGACAGCACGGCGAAAGATGCAGTCCTATAACCACATATGTACGAATGGGTGTCCCTCTTGTACGTCAGGACTGTTCAGCTCAACGGTGTCTCAATGCAGATGCCACCGTACAGTATTCCCAGATCCACCAAAAGAGAGCAATTTTGAAAGGGTTTCATAGCTTTATTTCATACACATCTCTTTGCTTAGTCATCGTCCTTCTGCGCGCTTTCAGTGTTCTATATCGCTTAACAACTAACCCGTACACACTGCCACTTTTATTTCCCCCGAAAGAGTCGTCGTCAACTTTGGCTTTTTAATCTTTTTCAGTATGATTATAATGCCAGGAGGTCGCGTGAAGTTGATCGATTTCGACACCAACAAGGTCTGCCTCGGCCACTGTGAGTAGATTTTAGTGCTCTTTTCTGGCAAATGGGAAGTTAGTGAGAAAAAATAAAGCTTAAAATAAACTGCTCTGAAGCTTCCCACGATATTTTTCGCAACTTTCAATGCGAAAGCATTAACTGTCCCATGGAGCGAACCGGCTTTATCAGCTTTTGAAGCCGCGCCAAACGGCGCTTAAACTCCCCTGTCCCAATGTAGCGAAGCCTGTCGTCTGTAGCAGCGATCAGATGAATAAACTTCCATTGGCTGGCGCGTGTCATAGTTTTGAAGAACGAGGCTCCCATTGGCTCTAGCACGACGTAGTTTCAAGGAACGCCACCAGAGAAGACCACTTCACGGTGGCGCAGCGGCCTGGCCGCCGGTAAGAGGGTGCGGCTGGCCGGCGAGTCAGCAGAGCCCGCACGGGCAGACTCCGGAGTGGCTGCACACCCGAGCTCAGCGCGGCGCGGCCACTTCCTTGCTTTATTTTTATTAGCTCCACTGATTTATATCTTTTGTTCGCAACTTTGTTAGAGCTATTTCATACTTTAATTTAGATTCAAATATTTATTTATATTCTATACTGACAATTACAAAGTTCATCAAACTGTTGAATTATGCATCTGGGAATAATAAACGAGAGTTGCAGAATAAAGCTAAGGAAGAAGAGAGCCACATAATATTGCACTGATATGTAATAATAACTTTATAAAAGTTTATTTGCCAGACAACCTTATTTTTGTATCGAAGCTAGAACAGCAATAATTTGTGGATTCAAAAATCACGTAACTGACTCCGAAACGTCCATTAAAACCGATGTAGCATTGAGAGTGTTGATGTTCTAAATGAGAAGTCCTTGAAAGCGAGATTATCGATGCTTTATTTTGGAGAGATTGGGAGAATTTCTACACTTTACACGCAGTTTCCAAGCGACTCGTGAAAGGCTACTTTGCCAGGACAGCCTTTGAATTCCACGACGGAGAATCTGCAGGGACGATTCCCTACATGGCGCCCGAGATTCTAAAGCGCAGGCCTTACGGTAATTCGGGGAGAAAAGCTGTAAACTCTAGAAATTGTCCGAACTGCACGGTTCCTTGCAGGAAGGGCCTGCGACTGGTGGTCTTCGGGAGTAGTCTTCTACAAATTGATGACGGGAAGGGTCCCCTTCAGAGGGCGGACGAAGCAACTACTTCGGGACCGAATTATCGGCGGTAAGCGCACCCGGCAGTGAGCAACATTGAGTGTGACGAATACAAATCTATTAAAACACGACGCCTAATAAAATGAATCCTGAAAATTGCTGTCTCAGAAATGTCCTCGAGTACATAAATATTGTTCTGCAGCATTTCAATTGTATTTACATCTTGTCCAGTGGACAAACCTAACCCATAGCGGCGCTTTTAATTTATTTCTTTCAAAATGCAAACCCCACTGGCACTCAGCAGTTTAAACGTCATGCCAAGGTTAAGGACGTCTATCATAATTTTTATGTAAAGTCAGAACGGATGATGCAACGAGCTGATAAAGCCAATCAAGCAGCACCAAAAGCGCAACGTCACGACGCCCGTCATCTTTCTGTCCATCTGCTGTCATCCAATAAACTAATCAAGCTCAATGAGCGTGCTGCGTTTTTAGTATATGTGTTCGCGATTTATGTCCTTAGCCTTTGAATTCTCTCTGACTTGTGGTGAAACCAGACATGTATAAGTTACCCAGAAAAATTAATTGGGTTAAGTTACTGAGTATTAGCCTTAAAAGTAATTTGAGTAGAGTAGAAAATACTCAACTCGAAAGTAACTGAGGAAATTGCTAATAACGGTAAAAAAAGTAGCGAATTATTTTTGAAGTTACTTTGATATATTTTTGCAAGCCAATCCGGCTTGCGAAAAAAAGCACGCCACCCTTTTCCGGACCTGCTGCACACAAAAAGTTTACTCCGTCCCTCTCAAATGCGGTGCCGAGTACATAGGAAAAACCGGCCGATTTATCAATGACCGCTTGAAAGAGCACGAAAACGAGGCCACTTCAAGAACCGACAACCCCATTCATCTGATCGCGGTTCACGCGAATGAATGCATTGGATGCGCGCCTGACTTCGGCAGGAACCAAGACAAGAGGGGGACACCGCAATCGCCACGGACGTGAAATCATCGAATCTTTTCTCATCCAGAACGCAGAAAACAACGTTTCATCGGCCTCAGTAACCTTATCAAGACGGGAATTAGAATTCCTCAAGCCTGAACTTGAAAAATATCGCAACTACCCGTAAATACACAACATCACGGTAGTTCTGCCCGTGCCTCGTGGTTCCCCCTTTCCTTCTCCTATCACGCCTTCCATCTGCCAGTTTCCCTTCCCCTTTATCACCTTTCCATCTCCCAGGTTTCCTTTCCGTCCCCCATATCACCCTTTCCGTCTCTCTGTTAGCCTTCCCCCTTATCAACCTATCTTGTCGGGGTCTCGCTCAGGGTGCAATGTCTTTACCCAAAATAAACGTCGTTGCTAAATGAAAGCAGGTGGTTGTCCTGTGCTTGTCCTCTGTGTTTTATTCTTTCAATTTTATGTATTCATGCTCAACCCGCTCGGCCTTAACCAGTTACTTTTTTTTCTTTTTTCTTTTTTCATGGTGACAAGAAAGTACACAAGTTTTGATCCCTTAGCGAAATTGTACTAGCCAAACATGAATCGGCCTTGTTGTTTTCACAGAAATACTTGAATAGCATGTTCTGCTTCTGCGTCCTTAATTCTTTTTTACTTTTCTGTTTTTTGGTCAATGATGTACTGCGAATGTATCGTTTCTATTTTGAGGTTTAGCACTGCCTGAGCTTGATTTTTTAGACACTATTGGCTTGTTTACCGTGTTTTGTAAAGTACATAAAAAAGGTACTTGAAGTAAAGTACAAAGTAAATGAGAGGTTATGTACTTCAAGTAAAGTAGAAAGCACACCTGGTGCAATGTACTTGAAGACACGTACTATAAATACTATAAATACAAAATATTTCAAAGGTAAACCTCGAGTACTTTTCACACAATCTTTCATGATACCCTTTCATTCCCTATATAGAGTTTTTTTTTTTGTTTTTTTTTAACGGGTACGCATTGCTTTCGGAGGCAATCGGAGGTGCATCACTTTTTTAGAAAGAAATGATAGCAAATATTGTATAAAGTCAAGTCGCCACAGATTAGTTGTTTTACTCCCGCTGGCGAGCTATTTGACACAATGAACTTATAAGGCACTTATTTCTGTCGGTCTTATAGCCACCGTTACTTCACTCAGCGAAATGACCAGATGACGTCTCGAATGAGCGGGTTTTCACGCGACGATATGCAATTTTTTTGTTTTCAAACTTGGGGAATTTTTATTGAAATCGGGAGCTTTCATTTCCTCAGAAACTATAAGTACATTCAGATAATATACTTCACTAAACAGTAGTACTTAAAGAACCATGTACTTAGAGCACTCCCCAAAACTGCTTGTTTATTATTTTTTATATAAAAACGTTGGGGGAATTACTAAGGTTTCTTGAAAGACCTTCGAATCTTTGAAGATCTGCATATTTCGAGATATGGGAGGAAAGGCAACACGAAAAGGTCACCTATGCGTTGTGCTTTAGCACGCGAGTCTTCGAGTACACCACATTAGCACGCGATTCTTCGAGTACAGCACAAGCTACAGAAGCACCAGGTGAACTTCAGAACGGGTGCTGCATTGTGTTGCCTCCTTTGAGTGAGGACGCAGTGTGTACACCTCTTGTGGAGAGTGAGGGTTCCTACGTTGGGGAGAAGCGGGGACCAGCCCCTTCTTCAAATGGGCAAAGTCTCCCTGAGCTTCGGGAGACGTAGAAACGGCAGTCTTCGGCGCTAACCCCACAGTTACTCGGCCTCTCTTGCGTCCTGTCCGTTTGCTTCCCGCGCCTCGTAGCAGTGTTGTTGCTGTTGCTCGTGAAACTTTTTGGGGGTTTCGAACTCTCCAAACCATTTTCTCCCACTTCCCCTATCCTTCCTACGTTATATGCTCCCCTCTCTTTGCAAACATCAGCTGATTTTCTAACATTTTATCGTTTTTTGTGCAGGAATGTTTCATTATAGGCGTAACAACCACTAAAATTCGAAAACAATTTGTAATTTGAGTAGAAGTTATTCGGAAAAAGTAATTAAAGTAAACTACTAATTACCGAGATCAAGGTGAAATTGGAAGTTACTAAACAACTCAGAAAAGTAGTTAAACTACAGTAACTTGAGTAGATGATTTGAACTACGTACAAATCTGGGTGAAACGAAGTATAGTATAATTTGTATGTCGTTCGGCAGCTCCACTGAAGTGGCCCAAGACCGAGGAACACCCTCACTCGGCGACGCCTGAAGCCAAAGACATGGTGTTCAAGCTCCTCCGGAAGAACCCGATTGAGCGGCTTGGTTCAAGGCACTACCAGGACCTGAAGAGCCACCCGTTTTTCAACGGTTTCAACTGGAAGGCACTCAGCACCAGCAAGTTTTTGTGCGAGATTCCGGCCATTGCGGAAGCCATGGGTGGCATCGTTGCCACCACGTCGGCCTTCAACGAAGAGATTCTGGGACGCGAGCCTCCTAAGAAGGCCGGAAAGACAGCCCCTAAGATACCTTCGAAGGAATTGCTCCAAGGGGCTGAACAGAAATTGGAGGAACAGCTGTGTAAGTCTCCTCTTGCAGCACTATACCTACAGTCGGCGTAAACTGTATTCTTCTACGTTGTCAAGGCTATTTCACTTCCACCGTTCTACAGCCTCGCAGTGCTGCGAGAGCACATGGCTTCGTCTTGTGTCTCATTCGCATGCGTTTGCGCAACTAGCTTTGATAGAGTTGGAGCACTGCGGAAGCAATGTTAGCCTTGACAACGTAGCACAAAATAGTTAGAGTCGAGTATTAGCGCTGAGATGTTTCGGTGATTCCCCGTTAGGGCTTCCCTCCGTGACGTTACGAGTTGTCATTTTGGCTATCTATCGTTGGTACAAACGACAAATTCGATGGTGTGCTTAAATAGCACGGTGCAGGCCTGGAGTAGTCGCATTTTTAAATAAGCACCGTCGATGTGGACAATCTGGCATTGCTCTTATTTCCTTCGATGAAAGCATGATTAATACGCTTTTAAGACGTCATGGTGAGCTCTTCGCTAATCGTGGAAAGCCGACCACAGCTACGCTTTTTTGGTCTTCGCCTTTCGCCAATAGATATAATGTCGTGTCATGCTGAATTTTGTACGTCCGCTATTGACAGCCAACGTAAGTCATACATTGGACACGATTGCTGTGTCAGCGTTATCCCAAGACTCGTGTTCTGACTGATGGAACGAGAATTTCAGCCGAACGCTGAATATGTGCCCAGCGCTCGTTTTAAGTGGGTTCCCTAAAAAACTAGTACTACGGCTTTGTATCTAGGTTTCGCTAACTCTAGGCGTTTTGGCTCCTTCTTTGCGCTGACGTTACTCATTAGATTGCCCACGTCGATTTTTCTTTCGCGCTCTGGCAATCAGTTTTTTTCTGTTTCGATTTGGCAGTGTACATTTTGCGCTCTCGGACAGTGACAGTAGAAAGGCCGGAGCACGTATATTGTTATCGGGAATTACATTAAATCGCTCGGTACTGGTGGCCACATAACCCTGGAGAACTTCTCCACTTTTGCAATTAAGCTAATTACTTGTTTTTACACACGTCACCGCAATAAGGATGACTTCTAGCAAACCGTTTTCACGACTACGATATCATAATCGATAGGACAATCTGACAGTTAGGTGCGTGCTAGAAGTTATATCGCAACTAAACAAACAATATGTTAAAAACTAATTCTAGTCCGTGACTCAGCTAACAGTATCGAATTATGTACTAAAAGTGTAGCTTCCATAGTTAGAAAGCTAAAGGCTCATGTATATTATGAAGCTTTCTGCTATCCCGTGTCGCCTCAGACTGAGCATTCCTCGCAAGAAACATTATGGAAGTTAAATTTTCGTAAACCAGTATTTTGTACAACTATAGCCTCACAAAACCTAGAATGGTGGTGAAAGTAGCGGGACAGCGCTTGTTCTTCTTATGCCCGAGTCTCACTAAAGCGACAAACAGGAGCACCCGACTCCAAGCCTCAAACATGCGCTGCATGCACGCGAGGGTATCTTTGGCAAGCTTGTAGTCACTCGCACTTACTTCACGAGCTCCGAGACATTGCAAGCCTGCCAAAGGTACCGCCGCTCCCACAATACACGTATTTGAGGCCTATCGGTGTCGGTTGTTTCTGTTTGTCGCTGTAGTAGGACTAGTGGGGACCCTGGCGGCTCCCGCCAAAGTTTCCACCAGTTGCCCGGAATCGGGCAACTGGGCTGGGCCCAGCCCAGTTGCCCGACTCCGGGGCACAGGTGGCGAACGTTCCCGTGTGGCGGCGGAATCAAGCCGGCCACGCGCACATCTTGCCCAACAGCCTTGATAAGGCGGATCAGAGGCGGCGCACAGTCAGTCGCTGGCTGGACTCAGGCATCGCCAGAGCTCTCTGGTTTTCTGTTAGTATGCTTCATCGTCTCGTTCATGTCCAACTAAATTAGATTTTTTTTTTTTTTTAATCTTTGGTTTTGTGTTATTCCTTCGGGTCGGGTATGCAGCAAGGCAAACCGACCACAGACTCGGAGATTAAATATCTGTTAACGTTAATTGTTACGTTCGAGTTATTTTATTAAACGACTAATGTTTTTCTCGTTGTTGTTGTTTCGTTGCACATTCAGCTGCTGGAGCCACTACGAACACAAAGAAGCGGAAACTCCAGAAGATCGAAGACATGGTCGACATGGAGCCGGACCTGCAGAAGCCTCTATACACCTACGCCACGTCCAGCTTCAAGAAACTTGTGCTTGCGGTACGTTTTGTGCACCAAATGAGCACTAAGAACCATTTCGTATTAAAATAAAACGATTTCGGTCAGCATCGCACAGGGTGCGATCGTGTATCACTACTGCGTGATGAACGTTAAGGACCCCAGGATAGCGGTTGTATACTACACTGGCTAAATTAATAATGATTTATCCAGTGTAAAAATTTATTATTATTATTATTATTATTATTATTATTATTATTATTATTATTATTATTAAATTTACTATTCCAAACTTGAAAATTTATTTTATTGACTTGTGCATGATATTGAGAAGAAAAACTAGGCCGGTTTTTCCTTATCTTTAAGTGGAAAGCCAAAACAGTAAGTGAGGATTGAGGTGGTGATCCGTAATCTACTCCACTGTGATGTCGTGTCCCAGTCTGTCTGTCGGGAAATTTCAATTAGCGAACGTTAACACAAATACAAATTATGCACTATACTATAGCGCTCCCTCAAGTTTAGCGAACGTCCATATTAATCAACGTCGCAACAGCGCTAAATGTAGGTTCTAGTCTGCTTCTGAGAAGATATAAAGCCGAGGAAGTAAAGTTACAGTTTTCCGCCCTGCTTATCTCTGTGACAGCTGAAAGAAAAGAAAACCGTCGATTTGGGCGACAACTTCTTGAATACCAGCGGAACGGAGTCCTCTGATATCGACTACAGAAAGCTCTCAGCGGGAGAAAGCATGATCGGCGGAGGGGCGACCTCGGGTGAGCTTCTTTTGTTCTAGCACACTGCCACTAACTGGTGTTGCTAAGACGCTAGCTTACCTGACCAACGATAACGTCAGGGTAGTACAGCACATAGTAGATGAGGACATTTAAAACGCTGGCTAGATGAGGCAAGCCGCCGCCCGATTCAGTCAGATGGCTAAGCCCGAATTTATACACCCTATCCAACCATTCGTCGACCAATCCTCACTCCATCAATGGCAACGGAATGCGGCTTGCACGTTTGTCTACTCCTTGCGCAACTCGAGCCTTTGCTCAACCGCCAAATGCGCGCACGCAAAATGCGCGCGCGAAGAACGATCTGCGCAAACCAGGAGCGTGAACATAATTATAGTCACGCCCTGTGTCAGTCAGGCTGTTAGAGTGCTTACAGCGCACTGCACCGCAGCCAGTGACACCCAGACAGCGAGGTCGTCGGAGAAACTGGACGTCATCCTGTTCCGGAGGAGGAGCCTCGGCAAATTCTGGGGCTTCGGCGTCAACCTGGAGAGGGTGAAAGGCGAAGGCGACAAGTTCGCGTACATGGTGGAAGTAAGGGTCCTACTCTTGTTACGCGTGGCAAAATAAAACACAACCGTTCGCGATAGCGAAATGTCCCTTATGTGCGCATTTTATTCCTTAGAGCGTGAAAAGAGGAAGTCCAGCCCAGCGGTCGCAACTCCTCCAGGGCGATGTGGTCGTGGCAATAAACGGCACGCCAATCTACAAGATGGATCTTGCGCAAGTCAAGAAGCTGCTCAATTCGAGCGGCGACCAAGTTATCATAACAGTCCTCTCGTCCAGCGCATTTCGTATATTGAACACACGGTAGGTTCCGCGGCGACCTTCTTCCTGGCTCACCCTCACTGCGAGGATTTTTACAGGTCATTGGTGAGAGATTTGAAAAGGCTGAACTCATCGCTCGCGCGTTTCTAAGGAGAACACGAGAATCGCGCCAGCTGTGGCTCTTTATAAAATGGCGGGGTTCCGGTAACCCCTCGATGCGCAACTGCGTGTGTATTCAAGACATCGCGTATTTCATGTACATGCCGTGATATTTAATTATTTATTTATTTCATAATACTATCAGTCCCCCAGCGGGGACTATGATAGAAGTGAGTACAAAACACAATAGACAATGTAATGCACATGCAGAACACAATGACAAAAAATGGGCTATACGACACATAATACTCATATTAAAAGCGCAAAAGTACAACAAAAATGATAACATGAGGTCTAATGGTCACATGGGAGACACTTTACATGACGTTATTAGTGAGAGAGCGTCTCAGGTCCCGTCACAGTAGACTGCGGACATGAGCAACCGAACGCGTCACTGTGTTTGACCATTTATGATTGGTTCAGTGCTACTACGGTGTCTTAAGAAGAGGTTTGCTTATTTTCATATAGGGTAATTAGACTCAAAATAGCAGGCTTGATAATGTTTTGGGAACACGTTACACGGATATTCACAAGCCTGAAACTTCATTCGGGTAGGGAAGCGGAGGGTTTCATATTCTGTTGATTAGATGATTAGAGAGTGGAAAGTTCGTCTGCCCTTAAACAATGTCCGTTGGCTCCGCTGTACACTGGCAATTTGATCAGTTCAGTGAAAATGTTAACCAGGTGTAATTAACGTGAACCACGCAGTAAGGTAGTGCCAAGCTTGTTCACATCCAAACGGGCAGAGGAAGAGCTAGCGCTCAAAAATAATCCCAGCGTTCTGCAGCGCTAACACTCATTCACATGCTTCGAGTTGCGGTGTGCTTTTAGCCTCGCCTTGTGATATACTAATAATGTGAATTATCGGGTCATAATGTCGCAACATGGCCTACCGAAAAAAAGAGCTAGTTTTCACATTAGTCCCCTCACCATGCACATGTTTTCATGTTTTATCTATCGTGCAATAATGCAAATTTTAGTTACGGCATAGCTCTACGTTTTGAACGCTTAATGCCATTTGCTTGGACGAACAAAAGTTTCGAAAATATTTGTAATCGACTTGTGGGCATTTAGTTCATGTAAAGAAACTTTAACACATAGAATCGCTTTCTCAAAGTCACCAGAGGAGCAGTGGTATTCGTTGTGCGCCGCATTAGAGCTCGTTGTACAGAACACATGTGCCGAGCGGGTAACACACTAACCGTTTGGGAAGACCATGTCATAATGTTCTGCAAATGCGTTCCGAAAGCGTCCTGAAAGCGCGCCCTATGCACGCATAAGGAGTCAGCCCCTTGCTTGAACTTCGACGTCTCGTGTTTCTTACAAGGATCGACAACCATTTTTGGCGAACGCGGGAGGCAGAGTTCCACGATCGGACATGGTGTCTTCGTGCCTATGCTCAGTGCTGCGCTGTCATTTCCTTTCAAGGGCTACACAAGGACCACGTTTTCCGCAGTGGCTCATTTGTCGCTACTTGTGAATTGAACACACCAAGGGGACTGAGGAGAACCCGCACACAGGACAACATGCACACACAACATAATCTGAACACGTTGTCTGCCTTGTCCTGTGTTTTTGTTCAGTACGATTATTTCTGACCAGTTTGTTTGCACGTGTACATTTTGTTCACATCTAGGGAATTTTACTTCAGCTTGTTGTCGGTGCCATCATCACCTTTTGTACACGGCCCAGAAGTCGGCGTACACGCGTGTAATCTAGTGTGGAGATTTTATTTTACACCTAAATGTCAAACTGGTCGTTTTTGAAAGATCTACATCAAGAGTAAACATGAAATAGATGCCTTGCATCGACGTCAAATCAGCTGTGTCATTGTGGTGACCTTCTGCGGCCTACATTTGTTACCAGCGATTTTTTAATGTGTTACTATTATTAGTACCCACATTAAAGGGAAAAGCTGTTGGCGGCCGTCTGCGGACAAAACAGTGAGGAGAAGAGTAGTGGAGGACAAAGGCGAGAGCGAGGCGACCTCACGGGGCGGAAGCCAATGAGCGCAGATGCTGGGGCGAGTCTGAAGTTGCAAGCGTACGTAGCGCGTATGCCTTGGTTTGTGCTACAAAATGTAGTGCGAACCAAGTATATACTAGCGCTGGCTCAAGTAAACGGCAATAGAAGACGGATTGTAAACGAAGGAGACGGGCTGTCGAAACCGGTGAATACGGAAAGCTAAGTGAGGCAGCGGATGCCGCTGCTAAGGGTGCAACGAGAATCCCCAAGGCTGGAAAAAAATTAAAGGAAGATTCATGGTGGATCTTTAGGAAATGCGTTAGCTAGACCCTTGGGCTACGCCACACACGTCCCACTTTGGGAAACGCTAAGACTAACCCCGTAACGAAGCCAAAAATAGGCAGCAAAAAATAGAGCTTCATTTGTTGTCCATGGGGTTCCAGGAGAGATATCCACAACATCCTGGCGTCTTGCCGCCACGAGACCATTGTGCTGCGCGCGGTGCGGGGAGGATGCACGGGCAGCGGGAACGGCTTCGGCTTTAAGACTATGGAGGTCAAGACGTACAACGAGCAGCAGAAGAGCTACATCAGGTACCACATCATCCAGGTGAGGAAAGCGGCACGCGTGTCGTGAGTGCCCACCAAACCACTGCGGAACAGTCCTTTTTTTTTTTTTATGCACCACATGATGAACTACACTTGGCGCCCCCGCGAGACCAACTCTAAAAAAATCTTGCCCGAAAGTATATTCCTATAGTAAATGTCACATCTGTTGTAATCATGGTGGCGGCTGGTGCCTGCATGACAAATGAAAAACCTGGGGTCTTTAGCGTTCTTTTCTCAGTGGTGATTACATTGCCACACACCGGTGCGATGCTCAATCAGACTAAACCGATGAAAAGGGTTTATTGCTAGCCATTTTCCGGTGGTTTCTTCATAGCTACCTCCGAGAAACCTTTTCTAGACTGTCAACCCCCGTGCGCTCTGGTCGCTCACTTTTTAGAATACACAGATCTCGTTCGTAACCTTGTCATATATTCCTTGTGGCAAGAACCGTGGTGTTGTCTGACACGTCCTTCGGTCGCCGATGAACGCATGCAGTTGCCCCCCCTCTCCCGTTATGTTAGGAACTCCTCGAAGGTCGTTTCCGCCGGACACAAAGCTCTCCTCAACCACGAGATCCGGAGCTCTGCAGACGGGCTTAATTAACGGAGTGCATGCGCAATTACGGCGTCTTTGAGGAGAACATTGTGGGACGGCGAAAACGGTGTATAAAAATTTCCTATTATTTTTCAATATATAGGATGAAAACGCTAAAAATACAGTGCACGAGTTAAAGGTGGCGAATACCACAGAGCGCTCTGTGGTGTTCGTCGTTCTTTAACTTGTCCGTCTGCTTTTTGCAGCTTTTGTCCTATACAATGAATCACGAACTAGCCCAAGTGTATATATATATATATATATATATATATATATATATATATATATATATATATATATATATATATATATATATATATATATATATATATATATATATATATATATATATATATATATATATATATATATATGATGAGAAGAAAAGAAAGCCCTTGGTGAAAACAGCAACAAAGGACGGTTTATTCTTCGACGTTTCGGCCGGAGTCCGGCCTTCGTCAGGAAGCTCCGGCCGAAACGTCGAAGAATAAACCGTCCGTTGTTGCTGTTTTCATCACGGGTTCTCTTCTCAGTAATACCCACGCCTTCGGCCCCCCGCCACCATATCCGTTGTATATATATATATATACATATACATATATATAACGGGCATGGTGGGGGGGAGGGGGGCCGAAGGCGTGGGTATAGAAGAAGAAAAGAACGTACCCTTAGTGAAAACAGCAACAACGGACGATTTAATCTTCGACGTTTCGGCCGGAGTCCGGCCTTCCTCAGGAAGAGCCGGAGTCCGGTCAGGAAGTCCTTCCTGACGAAGGTCGGACTCCGGCCGAAACGTCGAAGTTTAAATCGTCCGTTGTTGCTGTTTTCACTAAGGGTTCTTTTCTTCTTCTTCTCTCTCTCTCTCTCTCTCTCTATATATATATATATATATATATACTAGGGTTGGGCGTCGGTTAAATATTTAACCCATTTGATCGACGCCCTTAATCGATTAATTTCATTGTTTAATCGTTCATTCCCGCAGATAATCGTTTAAAAAGTCAAAAATTTAACTTCATACCTTTGCTGAATATAGGATAAACGCAGATATCTATAATTTCGGATTTTAATTCAACCTTCATATCTAGTTGATAAGAACAGTCAAAAGACATCCACACTTACAAATTAATTTAAGGCTGGGCGTCGATTAAATTCTTCATCCCGATAAATCGCCACCCTTTAATCGATTCATTAATCAATTAATCGGTATCGTTCATTTCCATTCATTATAGTTTTAAAACGCCAAATTTACATTTTTTTCTTCCTTTGTTGGAAATGTGATTTACGGCGAAATATAGAATTTCCAGTATGAATCAAACTCGATGCGTAGTTGAGGACAGTTTGAAACACTTACAGGTTCCTGCTTCACGTGCATGAGGCAAGGAGCTCGTTGGTTTTCTACGGCAAAAGTGACCTCCTTTGATTGTTCCCAATTGTCTCTGCGGCGCTAAGCAAACACTCGCACGGCGTTGAAGT